GAGGTTGAGTTTGCTGTAAAATGGCAGACTCGACGTGTTTCTTTTGAGCATGTGGAAAACTTTGATGGATTTTGCGGCAACTGCTTTGAAATGATTGTTCCATTTAAGATCGCTACGAACAAGAATACCAAGATCTTTTTGAACATCTGTTCGAGGAATCACTTCGCCGTTGAAGTTATATGCAGTATCGTTGTTTTTACCAAAATGGATGTGAGTACATTTTGCGACGTTGAAGGGCATTTTATTAGCAACACTCCAATTATAAATTAGAGAAAGTTCAGACTGGAAAGAAGTCGAACTGTTAGTCCGAATAAACTTGGAGTCGTCAGCTAGTAAAAGAGGCTTCGAGTCAGCGCACGTTGATGGCAAGTCATTAATGAAAAACAGGAATAGTAAAGCTCCAAGTACTGATCCTTGCGGAACCCCGCTAGTTACTTCAATTTAGCCAGATATTTTGTCTCCTACTTTAATTCTCTGAGAGCGGTTGTTCAAATATGATTTGATCAATTTGAGAAACTTTCCACGTACACCATATTGAAAAAGTTTGAATAACAATATCCCGTGGTCCACTTTATCGAACGCTTTCTCAAAATCGGTGTAAATAACATCAATGGAATTTTCATACTCAATTTTTTTGTAAAGGTGATCGAGATATATCAAAAGTTGAATTTCGACAGATCTTCCTTTCCGAAAACCAAATTGTGCATTGTGTATCAAGGGCTTGAAATGATTGTATAGACTTCGAAACATGCATCGTTCGAGGATCTTGCAAGATATATCAAGAAGAGAAATGGGTCTATAGTTGGTTACATTTCGCTTGTCACCTTTCTTGTGAATTGGTGTTACTATTGCGGTTTTCCATTGCTGTGGGAAGACACATGTCTGTTTGATATTATTGAAAATTTGACTCAGGGAGTGGCATAGTGCACTGGCGACATTTTTGAACAGCGCTGGGGGTAGATTGTCGGGTCCACGTGACTTAGTTACGTTGAGGTCAAGGCAAATATCAAGAATAGATTCTTCCGAAGTATCAAAGGTATCAATGATTTGATATTCGTGCGCTAAAAATCGGTTGCTTTGAATTGAGTCCTCATCATCTAATGATGATGATAAGATGAACACGCTAGAGAAGAAGGAAGCAAATAGATCAGCCTTAGACTGATCTGAGTAAGCACATAGTTTATCTAGATAAACGTATGACGGTATGGTCGTTGTCTTAAATGTTCGAAAATACTTGAAAAGCTGATTTTTACTCCTGTTGCTGGCTAGTTCATTCTCATAGTTTTCCTTGTCTTTTCCTGTCAAGACTGTAACCTTTTCATTCTGTTTAGTAGTTTTCGGATTCGATCGACCAAACTTTTTCTCAAAAGTATGCAAACGCTTTATCTCGTTCGATGTTGAGGATGTGATCCATGGAGGCAGCTCACTGCGGTGCTTCGTTCGAATGGGGACAGTTTTGGAGATTATATGCTGTAACCAGTCATACCATTCCGAGAGTAAAACATTAGGGTTTGACCAACAGTGACCTGTGAAGGGATTTCGCGATATCTGGAGCCTCATAGCTTCATAATTAGCTTTGGTGTAGCTGAAAACTTTTCCGGGTGTTGTACGCTTAGGCGAGTAAAGAACTGAAGATATAACAAAGGCGACAGGTATATGATCTGACAATTTACTAATGTTGTCTGTTACAGGTTTGATGTCAAGAACATCTGTGCTAGGCGACACCAAAACCAAATCTAACGTTTTTTCACGTGTTGTAGGAAACTGAACAGATTGGGTGAGATTTAGTTTTTCAATGCCAGTAATGAATCTTTGTTCGTCGGGAAATGTAGAAGAATAATCACGCCAGTCAATATCAAAGTTGAAGTCCCCACATATAACCACGTTTGAATATAAAGGGAAGACACTTTCAAGATAAATAAAGAAGTGTTCAAGAAATTGGTGGTCTATAGCAAAGGGACTTGTCCTAGGAGGAAAGTAACAACAAACAAATAGCAAGGTTTCAGAAGTGGACGAGACTGTACAAGCTGTGCAATGGTGGACTATTTCATCAGGAAGGCGAACTGGTTCCGAACTATGTTCATTTTTTATTCCAATGAGAGTGTCGCCATGACTGGAGTGACCATGATCGTTCATTTCACGGTCGATTCGGTAAATATTGTATTGATTAAGAAATAGTTCAGAGTCACTTATCTCAGATGTTAGCCAGGTTTCGGTTAGGCATATAACGTCATGATTGCTCTTGAGAATATAATTTGCGAAAGAAGTTCTACGATTTTTATTAATGAGGCTTCGTGTATTAAAGCATAAGGCGGATAACGGGTGGGTGTTGGAGGTGGTGTCAGATAGTCAGTCTTCTAACTGAACTTTCACTCCATTCTTGAAGAGCTCGCGATTTTTAATTTTCAGGTCTTTGGGTTTAACATTTTCGTTGTCGATGAGAAATCTGCGTTTTTCTAATAGCTTTTTCTTAATCTTGATTTCATCTGGTTTCAGGGATTTTGACAGGTAAACTTTGTATACTTTTTGGTTGTAAGTATTGGAGTAGTCTTTTAAGTGGGTTGCTCTTGATAATAATCTTTCAGATATTAACTCGTTTTTAAATTTGACGATAATTGTCCTTGGTCGAGTGCTTTCAGGCTTGAATGGTCCAAGTAGCTTAATTGAAACAACAGGTTCATTAGTATCAATTCCTAGATGGGTTAAGACGCCATTTACATTGGTAACTTCATGTTCAAAATATCCGATCTTTGAGCTTTGTTATCACTTGCAGAGATGAATTCAGGGATACCACTAAAACGGAGTTCTTTTGCGTATTCAACACCATTTTTGTTTAGCAAAACATCAGAATATGACTTAGCTTGGGGATTTGAAGATGATTGGCCGGAAGAATCCAGTTCGGGGCGACGTGCAGAGTTGTTGGTAAGTGACTCTTTCAACTCCTTCAAGTCTGTCTTGAGAGATGTGCTTTCGTCGAATCTTGATAACGTCTGACGGTGCTGGGACAACAACTCTTTGAACAAGCAAATGATAGAATCCTTCTTGGTTTTCGTGAGATATTTATTTATTTCATCGTCTGGGGACCCCATCAGTTGATCAATAGTTGGGTAGTAACCATCGATCGAAACCAACCTCACGCGCTGCTGGGGAGCAGCATCAACTTCGGACATCACAATATGAAAAATCTATTTAACAAGTTTATCACAACAATTAGGCTAACTTGTTCTTAGGACTGATAGTTTGAGTTTTATAGTCCCGGTAGGACTTTTTGGCATTATTTTTTCAGTTTGTGTATTTTTCTTGGCAGTTTCTTCTCCCTGGCTTTCGTGTTCCTCCTCGTCGTCATTCTTATTGTTTTCCGCTCCACCTTCTTGGCAAATTTTTGTGTTGATCAATAAAATATCGTTATTCGTGTCGGTTGGTTCATCTTCAATTTGTGGCGAAATTAAATTAACAACTTCAGTTTGATTGGTCATGCTTTTCGGACTAATTGCTTCTATGAGTTGGATGCATGCTTTGAATTGGGGAGTTTTTTCAGTAGAGCCATTTCCTGAATTAGAGGTTTTAGGCTGGGATAAGCGTTTTCTTGTCTATCCGGTGGTGAATCGATTTGAAATCTACTTGGTTGTTTTGTTTCTTCGTTTTTCTTATCTTCGATCGCGTTAATAGGCACTGGGTTTCCAAAAGCATGCGAAAGCACCGATTTGCCGTTTCGTGTTGCTTTCCTCAATGGTTCCGGTGCATTCGTTGGATGAGTTTGTTTTTTGTTTTGCCGCTTTGGTGATGGGGCAATGTCTTCAGAGGAATCCGATGATTGATCGTCCTCTTCGTGTTTGTCAGAGCTTGGTGTTGCTGTTTCATTGGCTTGCGAATTCCAACCAGGAATTTCTACTTGGAGACTCATCCCACTTTCTTGTTTGTAATTTCCTTGTGGCTCGCCCGTCGGTCCGTTTCCCCGTTGCTTTTGTTTTTCTTTTTGCTGAACTATCGGATTTTCCTTGTACGGGCTTTCTTTCCTTTTGTGGTGTTGGCGAGCGGTAGGATTCTCGATGTCTAAAAAACGTAGGCAAGGTCCTGATCTCCGTGCGGACTTATAAGCAACGTAATCACTGAGGCGAGACTGTCTGCATGGTCCGTATATTAAAGGGTTCGTTACAAAAGCAAAACCACTATTTCTTAAAAATCTTGGTTGTTTTCCGAATGTTTGAACCCAAGCAGTGTGTGGGGTATATGTAAGTATTTTTCCGTCTATGGTTTTATATTTCTGTTCGAACGTTCTCGGATCCTTTACCTTGGTCGCTATTCTTATTGTTTTTCGTGCTACCTGATCTATCCGTTTTTTCGTGTTTTTGTCTACCGTTGTTTGTAACCCTTTATACCTTACGTTCAACTTATTTTTGACTATTTCTATAGCTTTAGATTTTGCACCTGTGTCTTTCTGTTGTGTTGTTACGTCCGAGTTTGTCAATTCCAGTGGCATTTGTGGCTTTTGGTCTCGTTTGTTGATGGATCCTTCGTCTTCCGACCATCGTTGTAAGTCATGCAATACCTCAGCGGATAGGGGCGGCTTGGTAAGATTCTTGCGGTCTAAACATGCAAGTTTTGCATTTTTCCAATTCAAATTTTCAGGTGAACTATTAGTTGCTAAGTTTGATAAAGGTGTGTTTGGTGTACGTCCCATGTGGGCCTCAAATGGTGAAATTTTTGTTACGCTATGCGGTGTAATTCTGAGTGTTTTGATAATTTCTGCTACATCTGAAGCAAGTTTGTATGCTATATTGTTTTGTCTATTCTCATAACCGCTAATCTACGTTTTAAAGTTTGTATCATTCTCTCGAACATACTCAATTTAATTAAAAATCTAGAAGCCATCAACTCTCAGCTGACTAGCTATTGACTTCAATCTTTGTACCCGACTGTTTGCCTTTTGTAACATTCGCCTACTTAAGTCACATATGAGGCTAAGAGAAATAGGCCCTATAACCATTGGCTCAAGAGTTGTTGTGATAAACTTATTAAATAGTCTTTTTCATATTAAATATCTGGTGCTACGATGAGGTCAAGATTGGCCTCTAAAAGTCCAGATTGTTGCACTATGTGTTCCAAGTCAGTGGGGGAGAACTGGCTGATGTGCGAGGGCTGCGAAAAGTGGACGCATAGCTCGTGTATGGAATACTCTCATGATATCTTCTGGAGAGGACCGCAAATGTAGTTTCTGTGCAATGGGAGCCTTAGTGATGATATTCGTCTAAAACCTACTGTGGTTGTGGGCGAGCTGTCGAAAGGCATTGAGGACATCAAAGAGTCACTGGAGATCATAAAATCTCGGCCTACGTGCAATCCTTCCCCTCCCCAACTGGAATATAAGTATTCTAGTTTCGTTAAATCTAGTTCCGATATATCTCAAGAATTGCGATTTGGTGGTATGCCGGAAATTAGCATGGGTACTTACAGCAAAAGTGATAAATCGAATATTTTTGAGCATGATGAAAAAATGATAAGCGATACGATGAAATTTCTTGGTGCAAATGCTTCAACGCAACTAATAAAAGACCCAGACAAATTTTGGTGAAGTTTCGAAATGTTATTACGGTAGATAGATCATTTGCGCGTGCAAAAATGTTGAAAAATTACGAACCAAACATCAAGGGAAACGAATATTCAGTTTTTCTATCAAAATACTTAAATAAAGAGGACCAAGAAAGGGAACAAAACTTGTTAAAGAAAAGACGCAAACTACTCGAAAGCGGAAACGAAGCAAAGGATATAATAATAAGAAATAACATAATATAACTGAAAAACCAAGCAGTAAATTGCACTGAATGTCTACCAAACAAAACCGAAGAATTAATAGCATTATATTACAATGTAGGAAGTTTATTCAAACCAGAAAGAAGACAAATTTTTCGAAGAGTATAATTTTAAAGAAATTTGACATTACTTGCATGTCTGAAACATGGCTTACAAATGACAACCGCGACTCCGAGATCTTTCTTGGAATTACAACTGTTTTCTATCAAACAGAAGATCTTCTCTGCAATCAACATCTCACGGTAGAACAATAATTGGCGTTAAGTCAGGCCTAATGTCAAAACCTGCAAATTTTAGTTTAAATATCAACGGAGCGGCAGTAGCATGCTACATTAAGCTAGATAAACGGAAATTGCTTGTTGTCTCTTGTTATCTACCGCCTGCAAATAGCAAATATGCTCTGAAAACAAATGAAATAAATAACTTTTAAAGACACAAGTAAATTGCAGAAGAACTATGATTTGTTTATTTATGGTGACTTCAATTAACCCTCAAAAAATTGGTGCAACATTTCATCAATTAAAGAAACCGAAATATCATTTTTGGATGGAATAGAGAATCTTGAAATTCATCAAAATGTTAAGTTTAAAACTGTCACAACTGGTACTCTCGATTTGATCTTCACCAGCAATAAAATCCATATAACAGATGTTCATACTTTAGACAGTAACGAGAAATTGGGAAATTTTCAAACCATTATCCGGTCGAAATCTCTTTCAACTTACAGTAATCGGATCTTATGCGTCGTAAGTTTACTAAAGAGTCCTACTTAGCTATTGCAAAGGTGATTACGATTTGCTCAAGGAGCAAATACTAGAAAACTCTTTTGACACTTACTGTTGGTCAAAAGTAAATGTGATACTAAATCATTGTTATAACTGGTTATCCACGCTTATTGAAAAATTTATTCCAAAGCGCACTAAACATAGATCATCCTTGCCGCCATGGATAAGTCAATCGACTTCGAGTCTTATTAAACGTTTACATACAGCTCGAAAGAAATATACCTACTTTCATCCAAAAATTTTGCACTTAATTGAATAGACAGAAACGAACATCGAAATGGGCATAGCCGTTTATGAACAGTCTCTTGCGTCAGAGCAATCAACGGGAAAACTTTCTAAATACTTTAAAGTTTTTCTTAAGTCAAGCTTACCAAGTACACTGAAGTACAAAAATGAGACCGCCAATACCGATCCATTAAAGGCAGAATTATTTTCGAAATTTTCCGCGTCTGTGTACATTGAATCGTGTACGTTCTTAGAACCACCCGAACCTGATTACAGTCCTTGATACAATTAGTTTTACTGAGCTCAAGATACGTGAAATTTGTCAATCGTTGAACACGAATAAAAGTAAAGGCCCCGACGATTTACCAACAGTACTGTTCTTTAAAACACAAGCAACTCTATCTCATTCTATCTATCAAATATTTTCTAAAATTTTCAAACTAGGCGTTTTCCAGACTACTGGAAAGCAGTTATAATCGACCCAATTCATAAAAAAGAAGATAAAAGTGACATTGAAAATTAAAGACCCGTAAAAGCACCCAGGAGCGCCATAAAAACACTATGTAACAGTCGCCTACTTAAGTCACACATGAGGTTAAAGAAAAATAGGCCCTATAATTATTGGCTCAAGAGTCAGGGACACTATCTCTTGTGTTTTCTACCTCAAGCGGACGGAGCCAATTCGGTTCACTTGCGACATGATACTAAAACCCGCGTTACAGCTTCGAGGCCACTACCAAAATACTCCCCCTCTAGAAAATAAGAACGCCCCCATACTCAGGTCTCAAAATACCTAAAATACACGAACGCCGTTAAAAACAGGGTGGGATCTATATATATAGTTATTTTTCATTAGATAGTGGACCTTTGATCTATTTCAGATGGATCAAACCAAAAACTCTCCCTAACTCAACATAACAAAATAAAACCCACTCAATAAAACTAAATTAGGTACTCACATACCGACACGACCTCTGGAAATGAGTAAAGAAACTAAAAAGCAACTCTAGAATTGATTGGGTAATTAATTTTAACTCGAGAAATTTTAAATAAGTAAGTTTTAACTCAAGAAACAAGTTTTTGATCTGGACCATTGGGCAGCTTCAGCTGTCCACCTTTCTACCGAAAGTTCACTCTGGTCCACTCTAGTTTATTTCCTCTCCACTCTTGATCACTTTCAGTCTTCTGCCAAGAATAAGACAGCTCTACTCTCGTTCGAATTATATATTGGAAATTAAGAATAGAAATTTCCAGCTGCTATTTTTGACTACTTTCCCGCGATTGTAATTCGAATCTTCTGATCTTATTTTTCTGATATTTTCAGTTGTCGCGAGAAACTTGAGAATGACATGCTCAACTCGAATTTTTGAAAATTTGCATTTCATGCCAAAATCAAGACTAAACGTTTTCTCAAGGTCAAATTTCCAAATATGACCGACTGGCACATACTCCCCGGACTCAAGGAGGTCGATGTCCTCATCGCGTGTCGTCGTCTGTCAGTGAGCCCCCAGAATGTTGAGTGCGTCTCAAGATACAGTACCAATGGTCATTTACAGAAGTTTGGAGCAGATTTAACTTTATCTACACCCCAAAATTCACAAACCTGATAATTGTCACATTATCGCAAAACAGCATTCAAAATCTACATACACCTGCACCCTGAATTTCCGCTTTGTAAGCTAATGATTAAAATTTATTTTGTTTTACCCATTCAGAATATTGTCGTGCAGCTTTCTGATTCATCTAGTAGTTATAAAAAACTAGTAACAATAATTTTTTATAAAATTTTTTTTTCCGTGCCTTCATATTTCATCTGAAATCACACTCTCACGACTCAAGAACCAATTTCTGAACATCGTCTTCAATTCGTGCCCCTTGTCTTCGAGGTACTTGGTCCTGACACACTCGACATCGTAATCTGCCTTGCCAGTTCTTCTTGTCATCGGAACTGATTACGATCTCTTCCCATGCCTTCAGCTGCTCGCAGGCCCGCTTCCACTGCCTTTGCTCTTGTAGTCTTTTCGCCTGATTCAGCAGACCCTTTGCTTTAGATTCCTGATTCATGCAAAAGGAATTGTGCAAACTCAGGCTCACGTTCTTTGCCAAGTCCTCCTGCAATATCGATTCTCTCGCTTTGGTGTTATCTCGAGACCTTCTACCAACTCTTTTCCAACCCCTGGTTATCGCATTGCGATGGGTTAGCAAGGGTCTCTTCAAAACTTCCGGCCCTATCTCGGCCAGGAACTGTCGATACCCTTTCTGGTGCTTCTTCATGTAGTCCTTTGTCCCCGTATACAACCAAGGCGTCAACGTCGCTCGAAACCATGCGAAGAATCTTATGCGACTCCTCACGTGCCTCACCTCCATGGGTATAGAGAATACTTTGCACGCAGTCTCAAACCACTCAACCTCCGGTTGTAGTCAATGGCATGTAATGATTTCGCTGTTGGTGCCCTCGGCTCTCGATATTTCGTCACGTTTTCCTCGATCCACAGCAACGCCAGCATCGAGCTCACCACGACTGACCGAATTTCTTCCACATCCTACATCAAGCAGAGGTTCGAATGCTCCGGATACCATACTGTCTGTGCCAGGCAGTGGCATGGGCATTCTTCATGCGTCAGGCTGATACTCCGGAGATTGCGTTCTCCCGAAGCTTCCACCAGAGGTTCAAACTCCATCATTTTCTCATGTGTCACGTCATTTTCTTCCATGGCTGGGGCACTATTCATCGCTTTCCCGATCGTGTTCTGTCTCTCAAAATCACTCGTGTTTTCGCTTTCTAAGCTCAAGAGTTCCCCCCAGATCTCACTCAAGTTCCCTGGCACAGCTCCCAGGATCTTTTTCAACAGTCTATGTGAGTGATGCGACATTTGAGCCTGTCGTACACTTTTGGGTATCGAGAAGGCTTTGTCAATTACTACCCTCTGACTGGATGCCTTCACCATCGCCATGTGTAATGGGAAGTGGCTTCCACGCAGATTGGCCATTACCGATCCCACCAAAGATTTCGCATTCATTGGCAAACTGTAGGCTTCATTCAGGGGAAACCCCATCTCCGCCTCAAGACCAATCTTCCATCCTCTGATGTGCTTCGGGACCATTTGTAACACTCCAGGCCATGACTCCACGCTCAACGCCGTCACCAATTGATGTTCGGATTCTAGCATCTCCAGTAATTGCAAGCTGCATCTCCTGGA